AGATAACCTGGCAAGGTTTATGCAAAGTACATGTTGCTTCTGTATTCTCCTCGGCCAGGCCAGAGTTCAGGGTGTAAGAGGGGCACCGGACAGTTGCTTTTCAAAACTCTGGGGAAGTGGCTGTGTCTTCATCCCACAGGACTGGCTGCACTTGGATACCCCTCAGCTTAGACTGTCAGCATTTAGTGCCCCCCCCCAAATCTTCAAATGCCTTGCAGCTATATGCCTTATACTGTAGCTTTTAAACCTTTTAATTAAAAATAGTTTCCCCCCCCTCTCTCTTTTGTGTTAAATTTCCTTTGACTGGTCCCAATAAGACCTACAAGAGGCATAACATCGTTTTAAAACAAATTTCACCCTTCCACACATACACATTGAGAACAATCCTGGAAAATCCTTCTCAGACCAATGACTAAGGCAGCCCTCAGTCTCCCCTCTTCCCTGAGATGCTCCCCTGTGGGGCCTCCTGAGGGATGACTGAAAGACGACCATTTGGGATCTTGGGAGGGGACAAGGAAACTCCTCTCAGGATTACCAGGAATGGAGTTTTGTGCTTCCATGAGCAAACATTGATCTCTTGGAAATTCCAAGAGCTTTTCCCATCTGGGGAGGGGACCATGATGGAAGGTCAGGCTTCCTGAGACTGGAGCTCCAATTTGATAGTTTGGCCTCCCAGCAAAATATTTGGTCCTCTGAACAAGGGAGCAGAAGCTCTGAAGAAATGAAGTGACTGCTTTACAACTTGCAATGGCTTAAGCCACCATTTTGTGCTACAAGCCCAACTCTAACAGTCAGAGTATACTGGAACAACTGGTACTTTGGAAGGGCGAAATCAGGATCCTGGAGTTGGAAGTCCAGGGGTCCCCAAAGTCTTCAGCTCATCGATCCCTTCATGAAGTTTCAGATGGCTCATCAAGCCCCAAACATTTATTATATGAAAATAATTTAACAAATACTAATTTAATTAATAGTAGTACTATTAATAATAGTAATAATAAGAGCAACCCCTTGAATAGTCCCATCAACCCTTGGGGATCAATATTGACCACTCTGGGGAACTCTGACCTAGCCCAACCCTGTGCCTACACAGAGTCCCTCAAAGCTGGCATGCTGGGTCCTGCACGTGAGGAGGTCAGGGAAGATGTCCATACAGCATGCGCTCGACTTGAAAGTAGTTGCTGCTGAGCCTTTAGCAACCCCTCAGAATGAGATGCTGGGGAAACCTGGCCTGGCTTGTACTCACCACATCCCAGAAGATTGGTGCCATCTCTACTCAGGGCTCTTCTAGATCCTGTCTCTAAGGGAGGGCAGTCCTGGACTTTGCACTCTCTATTTCATTTCTTTGGTGCAATCCCAAATCACCCAGGTTAATGTTTTGCTATGCCAGTTCATTCACTGTAATGATTACAAGAACATAGGGTGAAATGGCACATTTCGCCCTTCCAAATGTCCACTGGTTTAGACTAAGTCCATAGGATCTGTGATGAAGCAGGAGGGAAGGACAGGCTTCAGAGGGAGCTCCTCTGCAGTCATGGCCTGCAGTGACTGCTGGATCTCCCCGACATCCCCTTCCTGAAGTTCCCACTTCATCATATTGAAATCAAAGGGCGCCATCTCAGCCACCTGAGACAGAGGGCCACCCAAGTCCAGAGTCAGGTTTAGGGCTTGATAGATAATACCACATTTTCCTTATCCTTTTAAACTCTCCCATTTCCAGCTTCTAGAGCTTGGACTCACCAGAAGGAGCACTGCTGAAGATCTGGGTTCAGGTGCCCCACCTCCCAGCCCCTCATAACCTGTTCCGCTCAAGGGCGGTAGATGGCTAGGCATTCCCTTGATGTTCCTCCTTTATCTTTTACTCTGCCTACTCTTTGTTTATGGGATTGCCAATCTCAGGGTCTTCCTACATCCATTTGTTTCCTACTCTTGAATCACAGAATCATAAAACGAAAGGGATGGAACAGTCCTTAGGGATCTTCTAGTTGAATCCCCTTCCCCCTGCAGGAACCCACGAATATAGCATCCATCCTCTTTTAAACACCTTCAGGGGAAGAGAGTCCACCACCTCCCAAGGCAACCTACTCCAATGTTGAGCAACTCTTATCCATAGGAAATTCTGATGTCAACCAAAATCTACTTCCTCATAATTTAAACTCATTGTTTCTTGTCTCCTGGAGCAATTCTGGACAATTCTGCTGCATTTTCCACTTGACAGCCCTTCAGATCTTCTTCAGCTAAAAATAACAATACTTCCAACTGTTCCTCATAGGTTTTCTTTCCCCAGCCCCTTTTTATCTTGGTTACTCTCCTCCAGTCACCTCCAGTTGGTCACTGTCCTTTCAGAAATGCAAGTTCAGAACTGGAGGCAACATTTTAGGAGTGGTCTGACCAATGCGGAATGGAGAGGAACAATGATTTATCTTGATTTGGACATTAGACTTCTGACAATCAGCTTAGGTTTTCATCTGCTTTTTCTTTTTCTTTTTGCAGCAACATCACATTCTTGAATCTTCTCCTAGTAGAATGTAGCTCCCTAGATGCTAGGTTTTTCTGCTTGCATCATATATTTCCTATAAATGAATCTCCTTTCTGTTAAGGTTACAAACCCTGCTTCAATAGGCTTTGTGCAGGTTGATTCCCACCCTCCAAGAATTTGAAATGTGAAGTCAGGATAAGAGTTGATTTCTAAACCGAGTCTCACCTCTCTGTGTTTTGGTGCAGTGGGGATTGGATTAAAAATAAGCAATATCCAAGGGTCATGCCACAGTGGGTCACTGTGGCCAAACTGTGGTGATCAGGGGCCACCTAGGTGGTAGCTTTGGATGGTCAGATACATGGATCCTCTTGTGACTGGTTTCCAGTGCAGAAACTAACGAGGGATAATAGATTCCTAGACAGTTGCCAGTACTCTTCCAGTGAGAAGCCAGAGCGATGCTTTCTTGATGGGGGAGACTGGAGCAGAGGAAGAAGGATGCGGGATTTCTGCAGCACAAGAGCTGGCTTGTTTGAGGGATGAAGGTTGGAAACAGAGGGGACCCTGGCTGGAGATGGTGAGGAAGGATGTCAACCAGATGAGGAGGCTTTGCATTGCCTGGTGGGTTATAAAGTAGGGATGAAGATTGATTCTGGGACCAAAGCTTGGAAGCTTGGAAATGTAGAACATGGTTCCTGAGTGGAAGGTGGGAACCAGAAAGGGTTCTCTGATTGCCTGTGCTGAGAAAAGGTTGAAGGGTCTCCCTCTGACTCATAGCTAGGTGAGAACTGGGCTGAAGTGGTTTATTAGGAGTCTAGCAATATGGGGTGCGGGGGTGGAGGGGAGATAAACACAGAGGATAATGATTGTATGTTTTAAAGAAGATGAGTGGGGGAGTGAGGGCGTCTTCTTAGAAGGTTTTCTACATTAGTCAATGTTTGTACTGGTTGGTGATCCTGAGGATGTGTGTAGAAGAACTGGGCAAGAGGGCATGAGTGTGGGATTGCAGTGATGAGGGGCAGAAGGTTGGGGGGGGGCAGGGGAAGAAGAAACCTATGGCCAATCCCATGATCTCAACTGACAAGCCAGGGAGCCAGATCCCTTGGACTCTTGGGCATAAGCTGGCACTACTGAATGCTGGCTCTGTCTGCACTAAATCTATCCTCATCCATGACTTCCTTGTGTACAAGAGGGCATGCCTGGTATGCATTACCCAGTCCTGACTGGATGTTGAGGGCTGATGATTGCCTGTTGACAATCATGGCAGGTAATGATTGCCTGTTGGAGTGGTGAGGAATGGTAATTGTCTTCCATGGTCACTTCCATGGTCACTTCCTATCCCACAGTGACCAGCAGTTGTTGTACCTAGGTAAGTGAAGGCTCCCAGTGATGTTCTCCCTCCCATCCTTGTCTGGTGATGTTGTGGATTTGGTCAGGATATTGGCTTGGGGTGATTTCAGCCCCTCCTCTCTGTGGTCAGAGGCAGCTCAAGAATTCACACCCACCATAACTGCCGTGGGTCTGTCCCTGCTACCCAGATTACAGACCAGTGGGCTTTCTGATGGCACTTGGGGAGTTTCCCAATGACTTAGAGGGCAGTTTTGTTGTGTATCTAGGAACCCTCAGAACAGGGAGCTGAAATGGCCACTAGACAGACTTGCCTATCCACTGATCTGTGCACGTGCCTTTGTATGCTGAGGAGCTTTGGAAGATGAAGCAGATGAAGAGTTACCTAGAGTGAAGCTGACAGAAGCTGAGGAGTGATGATGGCTGCCATGGTATAAGCTCAAGTTCAGTGGGGTGGTGGACCAGAGCTACGGGTCTGCTCTTATTGCATCCATGGGCTTTCAGCCAGCAACATCATTTGGAGTAGCCAGGATGAACAAGAAGATTAATCAAGTGTCCATTGTGGGTTGGCTGGGACTTTTGGATAACATCACTTGTATTCACTCCAGTCTGGAAGCTAGATGGTTGAAATCTGAGGGGTGGTGCCTTGCTGTGTTACCTGGGAGGTTTTTGAGTCTGTAGGTCTTGAGGAAGTGCACAGGATTCTTTGTGAAAGCAGCCTTGCCTTTTTGGGGAAGGTGGTTGAGAAAGTGGTGGCATCACAGCTCCAAAGGGTTCTGGAGGAAACGGCTTATCTGGACCCTTTTCAGTCAGGTTTCAGGCCCGGTTATGGAATGGAAATGGCATTGGTCACACTTATGGATGATCTCTGGCGGGAGCGGGATGGTGGAAGTGCGACCATCCTTGCTCTCCTTGATCTCTCAGTGGCTTTCGATACTGTCGACCATGGTATCCTGTTGGGACAATTCAGGGAATTGGGGGTGGGCGGCACGGTCTTGTG